ACATCCTATCCCCTATCCGCTGGTTTTGCCAAAATTGGCCTTTTTAAAGATGAGTGGCCTTAAACCCCAAGAATTCGGGTGGGAGATTCCGGGGACTTGAAGTCCACTCATCTTAAAGTGGCCAAGTTTGGACAACACTGCTATACGCAGTTACCCACTGAATTCATCTGGACTTACTTTTGACTGGCGTGTGCAGTCTGTGCATTCCTACAGTGATGTGGCTGCTATTATTGTTTTTGACTAATTAATTGCCTTAGTTTATCTGATTCAGGTTCAGGTGTCACAGTAGGCCTAGCTACATTTTGGCCTAACATTGTATGAACCAGGGCAATCACTCATTCATGTAAAAGAATTAACCTGAACTCTTCCATTACATACGATATAAATCTTGGAGGAAAGGAAGAACTGAGCTGAGAATATACTTTAAAAATATATTTTTAAATTTTAAAAATATATTTAAATTGTCATAGGGATATTCTTAAAAATGTATATCCTATCTTTCTGTAAATATATACTATATTCAAAGTTATGTCCATTATTTAAAGCAAGATAGCAATATAATCAACAGAAAAGCGGCACAGATAAGCAGCAAGAAATGCAGATATCATTTTTTTAAGTTGTAATTAAAAAATGCCAGCTGTAATGAAATAATGTATTTCTTATAGTTTTATACAATATTTTGCCATAGATAAGACAAAACTAAGTAAGATTTATTATAATTATGCCACTTGCATAAATATCTAATGTTTGCAGTTTGTTGCAAAATGTATTATTTACTCCTATTATCTTTCATATATGTAGCTGCTGGGGGATTTGCAAGCTACCTTTTAACCAGGATAATACTACTACTTTGCCTCCTTATAAGCTGGCTGGAATAGTTACCTAAAGCAATGTAATGTAATGTGAGGCACTGCAATGTTACCCAAAGCCAGTACGTTGGAAGCCACTCCAGCCCATCTTCTACCCGGTGCCCAAAGGCACGGCCCCTCTCCTTAGTTTATTCTCAGATTTTGGCATGGAATGAGACCAGAAGAGGACTTCATTTTATTCAGTGTGGATACTAACATTTGTTAGGTTTTTAACAAAGAAGATGCACTAAAAACTACAAGATATCTTTAAGTTGAACTTGCCTGGAGAAAAAGCTACACCTGGACTTAGACTGTTTACTTTGCTTAAGCACGCCGGTACACAAACCCATAAGCAGCAGCAAATACTATTCTAACCATTACATATAATGCTAGGCTAAGGATCTCAAAAAAATTATTTGTTGAAATGTATAAACAATTATCTTAATCTGTCAGGGTATTCTAATATTAATTGTTTTCTTCTTAAACTCTGCTTATTTAAAAATATCAGAGTTCTTGAGAAGAATCAGGCATTTATCAAGCTAGATTTATTAAAGGGCTATAGTTCCTTTCTCAAACAACTGCTAAGCCACAACAAAAATACTCAACAGTAATGAAAGCAGTACCTTTCAAAACTGTGGGGTAGCGTGCGAAAGCTGGTGGCCCTCGAATTCCTTTATCTCCAGGTTCGCCCTATGGAAATACAAATTTGATTAAGCCAGTTTAGTACATACTTGAAAATCAATTGTTTACATCATGAATGAGAAAGAAAGGCATAAAGAACCTGCCTTGTGTCACAGATCTAGTAATTACATTCCATTCTTATCAATTACTGTAATATTTCTTCATTCTTTACTCTTCACATAAAGGCTAAAATATCTGCATAGTAAATTATTGCTAATTATATTACAATAATACCACAATACATTGTTTTAAGAGTTCCTATCTTCACCAATCATCACAATGACAACTATCCTATCCATCTTTGGCAGAGTGGTTCACTGGCAAGGCAATTTTGCCAATTCATTCTTGTTTGGCCACTCCAACATTATCCAAGTTTTAGACTTCCAAATCTTAGCATAGATGTACAGAAACATCAGCCATAATTGGTTATTATTTAACATATTCCACCTCCCTTCCTTAATAGTAAATGTGTAATTTTTTGCAAGCTGGACCATATAGGTGGAAATAGGAAACCACAATCAAATTAAGCAAAAAATGTTTGAAGAAAGCATAAAAATGATAGTGAGAAAATAATAGAGGCATGCAAATAATATCCTACACCAGATACTCTGGCATATTTACGTTTATACTAAACAAGCCTTCGTACCTAACACACTTATTCGGGGTTTGTTCAGACTTGTTTCAAGCATGGACAGCTGGGACAAATGGCATTTTGCCATATCTGAAGCTGCTCAATTGGTCTGACCTTGACTGATAATTGCCTAGTAACTCTTAGTGGACAAATATTCACACACCCAGCTGAAGGCCACTACTGCCAGTAAAGGCAAAGAGAAGTGGCAAAGATGTGGATAATCCTTTCTTGTGTGCCAAAGAGGACAACAGCTGGCACATTACTAGAAGGGAAGCATAGAGTGGGGTAACCATCCAAGAGGAAATTTTAAAATGGCAATCTTAGGTTTTGAGAAAATGATGCTTGGGGTGATGATCAAAAAAATGCTCAACTTGAAATGGATCAGTCTACAGAAATAGTTCTATCTTAGTCAGTAAGGTTTCTGTATAAGGAAATAATTATGTTGATTTATACTTTTTTTGTATCCTGCCTACAATAAATTGTAGTTATTTGATGGTTTAATGTACAACACTGAACAAATGAATGAATTACCTTCATCCCTTTCTGACCAAGACTGCCATGGGTTCCATGATTTCCTGTGATACCCTGAAATGTACATCAAAAATAGTGAGAAGACGTAATTTTTTTATTTTTTTTTTACTGAACTTCACATGCCTGCTTCAGTTCCTCAATCTGCATTCCAGCAGTGAGAGTGTTCAGAGCCAAAATTGGATAGAGCCAGGTAGGTGGGCTTAGCAAGATGAGGACATAGTTGGTCCAGGGAAGTATACTCTGGAGAATCCCTATTCCTACTTTAAAATAACTGATGAAATGGGAAAGTAAGCTCAACAGCCTATCAAACTTCATTCTTTTGTTGGGTAAGACCTACTATTTTTTAACTCTGATCTCAATTTACTTTGTGATCCTTCCTCCCTCTATTTGTTAGCTGCTATTTTACTGTCGTTTTTGGACATGCCTCCTCTTGATATTAATCTTTTCACTGATCTTATCTGTAATCTCTCTCTCTCCTACCAGCTCTCTTGCTTTGTAAGAGGCATTTTTGAGTGCAAGGTGGCTATAGGGAGAGAGAGGTGACTTTCCTCCTTAAACTTCCTTAACTTCCTTTTCTTTCTAAAAAGCAATCTGGTTCTGGGACTTCATACTTACCACACTCCCTTCAGCTCCTTTTAAACCATTGATTCCTGGCAAACCCTATAAAAGCACAACATTAACAAACAGAAACATGTTAATGAATATTTATTATCAATTCCTTTTAAAAATAGATTTTATTGATCTTAAACTGTATGAAGCGTAAGATTTAAAAACCCCAATTATTCATATACAGTATGAAGAATGAAATGTAATTTTCCAATACTTCTTGTCCATCATCTGAATGCCTATCTGTGGGGGTTACATCTGAACAGACTATACTCACCAAAACCAATCATTGTGGTTCATCACTATCTTGCAAAAAATACCAAAAATTCATTGGGTGCTTCGCCAGAATTTTTGTATATATATCCTATGTAAATTTATGCACACACAGGGAAATTCTGGGTGTACTGGAAATGCAATTTTATTCAACCATGAATAGTATATAGCTTCCTCAATTTCATCTACAGTGGTACCTCTAGTTACGAACTTAATCCGTTCCGTGACTCTGGTTGCAACTCAAGT